CCCCCCCCCCCCGCCATTATATACTTCCACTTGCCGGCCTCGCTCGGCCTCTCAGTTCTGAGCAGGGCGAGAACATAGGATGCACGGTGCAGCTTAGACGCCACCGCCGAAGCCAGTACCCCCACAACACTCACACACACCCGTAACAACGGCCCGCTCACGATTCGTTTCTACTAACCAGGCCCCTGTGGGTCGAAAGAGGCCTTGAAAGAGCCTCAGCTCCGTAATTTCCCGCGGGAAAAGAGAGCAGAACCCCGCGCTTGCCTAACAGATCATCGAGACGAACGCCGCAGCCTCCTCCCTCTCCTCTCGGGCGCGCCAATCCGTCCAGGCGGCCGTCTGGAAAATCGGCTATCGGGCGTTCTGCCCTCTCAAAAATACGGCGTCGCCCCCGCCTCGGCCTCCCGAAGACAGAAGACCGGCCCGCAATCTACAAAATGGCAGCCGCGCTTCCGCTTCAGCTCCCCGCGTCCCACCTCAGCAAAGCCACCCAAAGCGACTTCCCGCGCGCAGGCGCAGAGACGCCCTAGGCGCAAGCGCCATGCCCCCGGAAGTTCAAAGTTTGGCCCGGGATTCCGATTTGTCGGGTTGTTTCCGGTGGCTGCTAATGCAATTTCTTTACAGTACAAAGAACGAGAGTTTTGTAAAGGGGAGAAGCGGGGGTGGGGGTGAAAGATTGCAGTCGTATGATATATGAACAGTCTCTTGCATGGGACTCGAAAATATAGAGAACAATTAGCATAATGTAAATATTAATCTAAGTTCATTTGTCCTCCTCCTAGAATTTTCCTAAACACAACTCAGAATTTCAATTTTGCTTATTTTTTTAAAAAAAATTGCATTTCTCGTCCATAATTGTTTGTTTGCTTTTTTAAAAAATCGATCTATTATTTATACAAGTAATTTAAAGCTATGTTTATAATGACATGAAAATCAAAGAGTTTTGATTTCAAATAAATACGTTTATGATTTCATATGACTGATTCCTATCTCCGTTTTAATGCAGTGCTCCTCTAGTGTGTGTGTTTCAATATATATGAAAACACTAATTTCGTTGATATTTTTGAGTTGAGACTTGAATAGTATTGCTATATAGACCAGTCGCTGTTGATGCAGGGCAACCTTTTCCAATCTCGTGCTTTCTGTACGTGTGGACTTCTAACTTTCAGAGCAGTGAAGCAATCAGTCACGCCGTCTCGAAACAGTATAGGAATAGAGAATTCAACGCATCTGGAGAGTGGTGTCAGCGTCCAAGCGGGCAGTTATGCTTTTCAGTTGCTTACAAAATAAATACTTTATAATTTTATAATACTTTTATTATTTTATAATTTTTAAAATATATATATATATATATATTTTTTAAAAAAAAGTGTTGCTTCAACAAATCGATTTTGGGAGTTGTAATAGCATTAGAAAGATTTCCAGTTCTTGTTAGCTGCAAAATTTGTTACTGCAAAAGGCTGCAAAGCCAAAGTACATAATCCCTTACATGGAAGTATTTAAAATTACTGGAAATTGCTCAAAGATTAATGCACCAACAAAGAGCTGTGAAAATGAAGGCTAAATTTAGTCAAATTTTGTAACCATCCATCAGTAATATCAGTGATGTCCAAATGTTTTGGATGGAAATATTGACAATAGATATTTATAATTTTTCTCTTTGAGATCTCATAGGTCACAGAAACAATATATGCACTACACTCCCAATTAGTGTTTCTTTTTTAAAAAAAACAATGTACTATGTTTTGTTTTGTTTTTATTCCACCAAAATAATATTGGGTGGTGGGTTAAGACGTGCGGATTAAGATCTAAGCTTTCATGGACTGGTATTCACTTCATCAAATGATTGAAATTTAATCTTCAATTGCCAGATTCCTCATCCATCTTTCCTACAGTAAATTGGTTAATGCTGAATTAACTCGGGACCCCTCGTTGCTTTGCGGGGTGTTGAGAGGGAGAAAGCGATCCTATTTTCCTCCCGTGGTTTTATTTTAACCCTCTTGGCGCTCCGTAGTCCGAGTTTTAAGCCCGCCTTTCTATCCGAGGGGCTATTGATGGGGTGGGCGGGGACGAGGCTTGAGTAGCCATGGCGACGCTGCGGTGGTGGCTTGGCGCAGCGCTGCTCGTGCTGCCTTTGAGCGCGGGCCGCGGCTTCTTCCTCCCCTTGCGCAGCCCGCAGAGCTGCGGCCGGACTCAGTACTTCGATACCGCCAGCCTGGCCTGCGGACGGTGTGGGGAATTCCAGAGGCAAAGCGCTCAGGGTGAGGCTACCTAAGGGATCGCGGCTCAGACTGATCCCCGAGGCCAGCTGCACCTCGGCGGAGCTCGGGGGCGCGGACTCCCTGGCTCGCTACCGTTGGGCACGGCAGACGCCCCTCTCGCGGGGCGAGCGGCTACGAAGTCGCAGACTGGGCTCGCGCGTGGCGCTAATGTGGTTGCCTGCTTCGAGCTCAGCGTGTTGTGCGGTTTATTCAACTGGGCTTTTGTGCCGTGTGGGAATCAGATGTCCGCATCTTTCCCCACTGCTGAGTTGAAGGGGTTTCCCCGCCTTCTTACTAACAGGGCAGAAAACCATATCCGCATGAAATGTCCAGATCCCTGCGCTGCCTCTGCTTCCAGTCCCTGCCATTTTCCTGATTCTATCCCAGGGAATGGAGGGCAAAGCCCAGCAGGTTTTATTCGCTTTGAGTGCCCTTGGGCATATCAGAATAAGAGGGAAGTGTTACTTTAACACTAGTATAGCTAGGGATGGCATAATGCTGTTTCACTTACGAGTTGGGAAAGAGATGAGAACAAGGCCATCTGACTCAGCCAAAAAAAAAAGGGGAGGCAGGATTTGTGGCATGGCCAGGGCCAGCTTTAAGCTAAGGCTGAGTAGGCACTGCCTAGGGCGCTGAAGCTTAACAGATACCAGTGCCACCCCTTTTTCTCAAAATACAGATCTTTGCATCAGCACACCATCAGTCAGTGTAGCCTAGAGGCACTGTATACCCTTGAGCTGACATTGGTTAAGTGCAAGTGGGAAAGACCCTTTGACATCTGCTGACTGTGGAAAAAAAAAACTTTTCCATCTGGTTCTGGCTCAAAGTCTTAGGGAGACAGCTCAGTCACAATCATAGTAGCAGGGCCATCTGCTACTGTCCAGATGTTTTGGAATAAAACTCTGTAAACCCTCAACAAGTGTTATCAGAGATTCCTGGAACAGCAGTCTGCAATATCTGGCGGTCACCACCCTGTCTCCTAGAATGTTCAGTGAAGTGTGCTTCTAGAACCTGGTGCTCCCCCAGCATATATAACTCCCATAATCTCCAGTCCCATTGGAATCCAACATGTAATCCAACATGTATGAAAGACACTAAGAAGAATGGGGCTTTTTAAGAGGTTCATTCAGAAATTCCACTGAATTCAGAGGACTTTCTTGAACATAATGCATATAGAATTGCATGTTTGCATATTTCCCAGAAAGAGCAGATGTGCTTGATAGCTACCATCTTCTGGTCATTATGTAACCCAGGGGGCAGATGAGAAAACGTAGCAGTTCTTTGTCATTGGATCTCCCATAGGGAAAAGAACACATATGAGCACAGGGAGAAGTTAAGGAAGATGGTGAGATTGCTGTAAACAAATTCTGTTTATTAACAACATATTATTAATATATACAGCAAGCCTGATGTTCTCTAGTTCTTGCTTTATGTTAAGGGTATGCAAGTGGGTAGAAGTAGTTTCCCTAAAACAGTCACTTGTTCACTCATTTCCATGGTCTCTCCCAGTTTGTAGATAGAGCAGAGGGTTGCTCTGCCACCCAGAGAAAAGACCAAACAAATAGAAATATCAGGAGCCATATCTTTTGCTGCAGCTAGATCTTCTGTAGATCTTTCCTTGTCCAGACAGAGAAGTGCTGAGAGCTGGGATTATTGGGCAAATGCCAACTATTATGCCATTCAGAAACTGAAATTGCTTTAGTACATAGAGAGCAAGTGGAAGTTTCATTATCTACATAGAATCGTCTCAGGTTACTTTCTCTCTGCATGGTAGGCAGGCAACCTTTTTTTAGCCCTGGAGATTGCACAGATTGCTGGATGGAAACTTTACATGTATATATTCACATTAGCACATTTATATTTAAGCCCCTCTCTTCCATTAATCTTAAGCACTATAATTGGAAGAGAAAGGAAAGTAACTCCTCCCAGAAACTTATTAAAAACTGTACTTTCTTTCCATGGGAAATCAAGAAGAGGGCCTCTGAGTAGGAGGTAGGAAAACTAATCCCCCTTCCTTCTAGTGATTCAATTCAAGGTCAATGGATTCCCACTAGCAGTGAAGGACAGTGGAGGCCCACTGAAGGCACATTGTTAAGAGCATCACAAAATCTGACCCTATCAGTTCTCTCAGAATTTTTTGGATCTCAAGATTGCCTCTTTTCTCAAGTCTGACTCTAGTACTTGGAAGCTGCTGTAGAATATCAACTGTCAGACCGAAATGCTGCCAGGAGAAATGAAGATTACTTCTGAAAAATAATTGTATTTCTTTGTTTAATTTATATAGTCATCTACCTCTTAATTGCTACTCTGGGCAATGAACATAGGATTATAGCCAACAAAAACATAAATCATAAATAATAACAATAAACAGCAACTATGCAATAATAGCACAATGATACCCATTAATAGTTTGCATTATAAGCATGAGCATTCCAATGTATGTAGCTCAGGATTGAACTCTGGAGTTCTTGGTGCTCTCTGAGCTTGATTGCTTGCAGGCATTTCATTTCCCAGCTAGGTAACATCAGTTTGAGTCAGCTGAGTAATGAAATTTCTGCAGTTGGGTAATAAAACATCTGCAAGCAAACAACCAAGCTCAAAGAGCACCAAGAACTCCACATGAGCATTATTATTTTATTTACTACTTCTCATCATTACCACTTCTTAGAGGTTCTTTCAAGTGGTTGACACATCTTCTTTACATACTTGATCTTCATAATATGTGGTTGGCCTGGGGCACCCAGTGAGCTTTAATGCTGAGATTTGTGATTTTTGCCCATATTTTTCCAGAATCCATTGCTAACCTAACCAGAAAACCCAACATAACTGTTGGAAGCTAAGGACATTCCTTAAAATCTTTTAGAGGCAATACAGGTAGAATAATTTAGGAGATATCTCTTAATAAATAGCCTTATTAAAGCAAATGTTTTAATATGAAGCAGCTAATACAACAAAATATTGTGTACTTTTCAGGTACATCATGTGATTGTCTTCCAGGATTCAAGAAAGTTTCTGATAATGGTGGAACATCTATTGTGTGTGAAAAATGTCCAGAAACCATGGTAAATCAACCTAAAATATTTCTGTTAGAAAAGGCAAGTAGGTAAATGTTGTTTTTCCTGCCTTGTGAGCTTTAAAGTATTTTAATCTTTCATTTAGAGTGGAGTCACTCAAGATGGATGGGACTGCATTACTTGTCCTAGTGGCTTAACTACAGAAGGAAAATGTAAATGTGCTAATAATGAGATTT